CGAAGGCGCACAGCATGCGCAGGTCGAAGGCGAAGAGGCCGCACGCACTGAATTCCAGGCGCGAATGCAGCAGTTGCAGTGAGAACGAGTGCAGCTCCTCTGACATGGATGTGCAACTGCTGGAGGGCAAGGAGGGCTGCGCCAGCACAAGCCGCGTCACCTGCGCGAACAACACGTGCCAACAAGAATAAAGTGCTGCACGGCGTTCGCTACTGCGGTGTTACTCTGCTGATGAAATCGTTAGGTAGAGATATTATATTGGTGTATGAGGACCAACCGTACAAGGGCGGTGCATTAGTAGCGGGAGGGGGGGAGAGGGCGGGGTTGTGGCACGTATGCAACCCTAGTGCCGCGCACGGCAGCAAAGCTGACGGCAGACCAGGAGGTCGTGGCAGACGGCCCCAAATCGGGGCGGAGGGTCTTGCCTGGCTTGCTGTACTTTAATGTATATTTTAGTTATTTCAATTCAAAGACATCTCTATGGTAGACATATCTGGGGTAGAAATGTTTGTGAAACTTGAGGTGCTATATGTTGGACGATAAGACAATATGAGGTGATAGAGATGTTAGTTTGAATTTTAGAGAGCTTCTTCACGAAAGAAGGTCGAAGAGCGTCTGTTTCGAATTCAATAGCAAGATTAAAGATGGGGCAGGAATTACATTTTAAGGTTTTTTATTGTAATTTTGAATAAGTATTCTTACAAAATACCTATTCCGAATGTTTAAGGCCGGATTTCTCCCAGAGTAAAAATCATTTAGCGAATGTCGTGCGTTTCACAAAATCCGAATAAATGTATTTGACGATCTTTCCTTTCTTTCGACGTTACAAAAAATATATCTTTAAAAGACTTTGACTTTCTTAATGTCGCAGTTGCGTTGTTTCTTAATGTCACAGTTGCGAGAACATTATAACGTCTTAAATAAAGCAATATAGACCAGATGTTCTTAACCAGTTACTGCCCAGGAATTTTCCGCGGTTTGGCTCCACCAAATGCATCGTTTGTTTATGCTATCTAACAGCCATTGAATGAACTCTGAGGATAGTTTAGTATAGTAAATAACGAAACGAGTGTATAAAGAGGGGAATAATTGCTTTAGTGGTATATTCAAGCAAATGAACGACGATAGGAGAGAGTTATATTATACCCCTTTATACACCTGTTACGTTTCAACATTTTTTCGTTTGCTTGTAAGAATAATTTTAATTTTGAGAAATTCAAACTCATCATTACCTTTCGAGGTATAGTACATTTGATTACGTATTGCTGCTGAGATCTATTTTAGTGAGCTTTGCATTGTTTGTTTACAAGAAATATTTGCATATGGGAGGTACTGAACATGTTGCCGATAAAGTATTAGAAAACGTTGACAAAGTGATGAAAACATTACTTCACACGAAAAGTAAAGACAGATATGAGAGAGAATACAACATGTATAAATATTGGTAAGTAAAAAAACAGAGAGACACTCCTTACGCAGTTTTGCTACAGCGTACTTCTTAGAATGGGTAAACACAACTGACGTTTACATGTTTTACATTTGTAACCCTAAGACCAAGTGTTTTAAATGTAAAGCATTTCATTTATGCACGTTCAATATTTTATGTTGATTTAATAGTCAGCTAGCTTAATGTTTACTTCACCAATTTAGATTTATTCATTTATTCTTTACTTGTAGTTGTTGAATATAGTACATACGTAATCTGTGATGTACATTTTTGTTGTTTCATGGCAGGCTGGAAATACCTTTGATACGTATGTGTCTTAAGTAAACGAATTAGCTCCGTTTTAAATTGAATGTGTACAATGAAATTGTACAGCAAGTTAGCCAACGTTTGAGTTAAGAGTGAGAAAAACCTGTCGCGAGGCGGCGTCGGCGTGGGCGGCGGCGAGGTGGCAGGCGGCGGTGAGCGAGACGAGCTGCGTGAGGTGGACGGCGTCCCAGGCGGCGTACGCCAGCAGCTCCAGCAGGCTCTGGCGCAACCCGCGCGCCAGCAGCCCCATCAGCTGGTACACGTCGTACAGGATGCACATGAAGATGAACATCACCTGCGGACAAGGCGTCCCTCAGCACAACAAGCAAATAGGTGATCAAATAAGAAAAGTAAACGAGAGAAAGAAGGAATGGATAAACGAATAAGGAAAAAAATGATGAAAAAAGCAATAAATTGTTGGCTAAATATTACGAAGCAATCCATAATTATGAATAAATGAAGGTATATTATACCAATGATAATCCGAAAATGTTTAAAATTATTTAATATGGTGAATTAACTAATAAAGGGTGGCGTAAAGCACCACTAAAGTGAGAGTTAATGAACTTTCTTCCTTTCGTGCAGTCTTAATAATTAAAGATTGGAACATTAAAATTGTTGACTTTCCCCTCTCGGATTCGACTGCTTCCGATAAAAAACTGACGTTGCATACGATGCGGAAGTGAGAAAATGTTAAGCGTAACATCTTCCTGGTTTTCTACACTATTCAGGAATATTTAACACTCTACTCACAACAAAGAGAGAATTTCACAATTAATCAAATATTTATATCTGTTTATGATTTTAAATCAGTGTGCATAAAAGCGAGCTATGACACTATATATTCTTAATAATTTATGGTTAATATTTGAAGCATATTTTTAAACTTAATATTGAGAGAATTTGAATTATAAATAGCATAAAGACGTAAATTAACTCGAAGGTAACACAACACTTCTTCTGAAATAAAGTAGAAGAAATTGGGTGAATAATAAAATACCTTTACGAAAAGCTAAAATAACAGTAGGTCTACATCATAAGGCAAACCAATAAATTTAAAAAATGTATAGGGAATTCGAAGGGTATGAAAACTCTCAAAAGTGTAAATGTTACAATAATATACGCGTAATACATTTGAGACTCGAATTTTGAAAGGAAATTATTTCAAAGATGATTGAAAATTTCTGCGTTTATTTGTTAAGCAATATAATTTTAAAAAATCCGTTTATTCAAAAGTTTTAATTGTTAACATGTAACAAACTCTTAGAAAATGCTCACACAGTTTCCTACTTTGAACATTTGTTATTATAGTAGAAGGCATTAAGAGTTCTATTTTCGCATATTTTCACTCAAAGTACTAGATTGTGTTTGTTTTCTGTGTATACAGCTGAAATTATGGTTTATATCGTCTCAAGCAAGCATGCTTTTACGATTCCAACTCTACTTTTATAATTTCATTATTTTCCTTTTAGTCGATGAAGGAACATTCCATTAAGTATTCCGGAACAATAAAGACGAGGAAATGACGTCATCATCTGACGGAAACGAACGATCGGTTTATCCTTGAGAGAGCGAGCTCCGGATATTAGAACATGGGTTACCAAAGCATTACGTCATTTTGAGAACGTCATTTATTTCCTTGATGGGGATGAAAAGCACTTCCAGTAGCGTAAGAGGAGGATTGCATATGGTTTAAATCTCCCCAATAGGTCTTAGCTTTCTAGAGACATTGTTTGTAAGAAAATCAGCATAATTTATTAAGAAGTAACATAGCATAGTGAGCCAGGAAGACAGCTTTCTTCATTTGAGTAAAAGAGTTAAAAAACGAACAAGGGCTAGACGAAAGGGCTTTGTGGTATGTTTTGTGGGATTCTCCAGAATCCCCTATTTTCGATATTATCCTTCATTCGCTCTATAATAAACATTATCTTCTACACTTCTACCCATCAATACATTCACTACCCCATGGCAGCCTCTCAGACTTACGCACTGAAGAAAAGCTATACAGAAATATTGCATTTGGAAAAACAAATACAATGACGAAACTACCCTATGTTTCTTATTGAATACTAGTTTGCATAAAAATTTAAGGGCAGATTTACGTCTGAACATATTGAATAAATTGAATGAAATAATTGTGTAATGAATTTAATACTGAAGTACAACTCTAGCAGGTAAAAGTGTGTCACAAAGTTTGAATGTTTGGGCGTTGGGCACACAAACAGTTTCTTTCCTATCCCCCCATGGTTTGGAGCTAACGCACTGGCTTTAAAAACTCAAGTTAGCGGATGGGGCGCTGAATTATCAAAGGGTGGAAAATTCCCAGAGAGACATGACACATTTTGAGCGTGTGAAATGAACTCTGGAAGTGACCCGCAAAATGAAATGACTTCATTAACATCCAGTCCTAACGAGATCTCGCGTTCTACCAGCCAAGAAGGTTATGATTAACTATCATCTGGAGATATGCGAGTCACATTCTGGAATTACAAGGCACGCCCACGATGCATGCTCGAAGTCTCGCGCCGGAGAAAGTCCTAAAGGAAGACTGGGATGAAAATACAGAGGCGAAACTAGGCCAAAGACCGCCTCCCCGATGTAGAAGAGTACAAAATAATAACCTTTTACCCAATGAACCTATGATAGGCAATTTTATATAACAATGTTACATAAGTGAAAGGTTGCCGTGATTAGAAGGCAACCTTCATGCGTTGCTTTTTGGCAGGTCAGATCCTGAAGCTATCACAAGTTTCGTAGACCCGCCAAACGTTAATGCATGTTTGGTTGCCTAACTATTAGGGGCAACCGGCACATGTGTAACATTGTTGCATATAATAATATTTATCACAAGCTGTATAAATAATCTTGAACCGTCCTTAATGCCCTCTAAGTTTGTAACTTTAATTCTGAAACACTTGTATAAAAATGCGTGTTAGTGTATTTCATTTGAACCATTTGAGTTTTCTCCAAAACTTTGGACTTTTGAGAAACCGAGAAAAGAAACAGACCATCACGACCCGAAAATGTCACAGCAAATTTAGTTACAACCCAACAATTATATTATTGGAAACGCCGCCATCCGCAACTAGGCCGCTGCACAATTGACAGGCGTCGCGGAGTGGAGTTGGGGTGGGGCCGCAAAATGGGAGTTGAAGGTAGAGCGGGCGAAGAGGGCGGGGCTGACAAGGCGGGCGGGCGAAGCGGGAGAGAGGAAGATAATGAACTGGGCGGGTCGAGGAAAGAGAAAGGTTGTCAGAGCCGGGAAGATCGGGTGGAGCGGGCTAGGTAGGCAGGGCGGCCGGGACAAGCAGGAGGGAGGAGCAGATGAAGAAAACTGAATGGCGGCGCAGACAGAGCAACGAGGGCGGGCAATGTAAGGTGGGGTTGGTTGAGTGGGGGAGGGGGGTGGGGCAGTTTTACAAGTACACGTGTAATATCCCGGGAATTAGCGAGTCAACATAAAACTGTTCACTTCTGTCAACATAAAACATCGGAGTCTCCGCAGCCAGGCGGCAGTCCCCCCCCCTGCCGAAGAAGAGGCGTAGGGGCGGAGAGCAGAGGGCGGCTGACGCGCGAGGAGGGTAAGAGAACCTACTACTTCTACATGGAGAAGAGCTCTCTTCTTATACGTTCCACGCGCTTCGCCCTTTTTAGTTCGTTTCTGCTTTCGTGTTTTGCTATTGTAAAACGGTAATTCTCCTGGTTATTGCGGTCGACGTTAGTGAGATTGAAACAGCGGACGAGTAGGTTGTTTTGGGTTTTTGTTGACGACCTGGCATTTTAAATTTGGATATACGAATAAATATTGAATTCGAAATAGCATTCGCGTACAGTTATTCCACAAACCAAGCGCGGCACAAGCGCCTACGCACGTGCGTGAGGGCCGGGAGGCCGTAGATGGCGCCGGCGAGCGCCGCGGCGTCCACCAGGTGGCGGTGCGCGTGGCGCAGAGCGCGCAGCGGGTTGGCCTGCGCAGCGGCAGCGGCAGCGGGCGCGGGCGCGAGGTCGGGGGCGGCGAGGTCCCCCAGCAGGCGCAGCCCGCGCCACGCGCAGCCCGCGTCGCGCGCCGCGACGCCTCCGCCGCCGCCGCCTGCGCGCGAGCTGCTCGTTGAGCAGGCGCTGAACCTCCGCGCGCAGTGCAGCCACGCAACGTTCAGGAACTGCGCACGCGCCCACAGCGGCGAGCTACTCATTGGGCATCTACGTCGCCCTAGCACACAATGGTCCGGCGGGCTGGGCATTTGTTTGGCGTTGGTGGTATAACGCGTTAGCGTATCGGACCTGTTTTATTCATGCTGCGCAAGCTGAAACATCGTACAAAGCCGTAGATTTATGAAAGGCCAAAAAAATCTTTGTAACGCCTTCATTCGGAGGGGAAGTAAGGCAGCTGACAAATGTTTTTTTTGTATAGATCCTCAGTCAAAATAACCATCTGAGCTAAAATCTAAATTGCCGCCCAGGCTGAATAACCTTCTTTCTCCGTTAGCTGGAAAAGTAGAGCGTACAAAATTTACGTGGTCACACGATATAAGTCAGCGCCTAATGGGTTGAGTTCGTAAACGTAAAATAAGCATAATTGAAATAATTAAATTCAGGGGCGCAAGCTGATATGCCACTCCGCACCAAGTGGAGCGTTTTAGCGGGAAACCTGCGCGAATTCTCCGCGATCATAGTAAGTACTTGTCCAGGTCTCTGCGTGTTCTCACCCCGCCGCTTAATGGAAGTGCCACAGAAGGCAGTGTGCAGGGAATATGCGTGCATCACACAGAGAATGAGAACTGTGCTTAAAGTTAGATAGGTGATTCTGCATAGAGTTTACTGTAACGTTGCTCAGTCTATGTAATAGGATAATTGCACAATCTGCTTATACTCTAATTCCCGGCTTTCTAATTTTGGGTTATATATTACAGAATTTTGTGATTTACATATGGTTTAGTTAACTTCATGTGAAAAGACTTGTGTTGTAAATTTTTTTCCAATCGCAGTTCTTTTTGTTTCACCAGCGTGGGTGTCGGTGGTGCCGCACCCCTGCAGGTGCAGGACGCAGACGAGCCAAGATGCGCGTGGAAACTGCGCGAGGTAGTAGAACTTGTGGCGGGCATCGCCCAGGGCGGCGCCCAAGCCCGTACATGAGGCGCGGCGACGGCGGCCGCGAGCGCGCCCAGCTGCGCGCCCAGCGGCGGCCGCGCGGCCCCGGCGCCTCCGGGGGACGCCGCCGCGTGCGCAGCACGAAGGTGGGCGCAGCGCAGCGCGCGGTCCGCCAGCGCCATGCGCCCGCAGCACGCCGCGCGCGCG